TATGGCAACCCCATAGGGTTTTCAAGGCAAGAGACTTCAGAGGCAGTTTGCCATTGCCTGCCTCCTTGTAGTGACCCTGGACTTCCTTCCTTGGTGGTCTCCCATCCAAATATTTACCAGGGTCTACTCTGACTAGCTGCCAAGTTCTGGTGAGACTGGGCTAAGCTGGGCCATCCAGGTCAGGGCACTATCACAAGCAATGCTCCCTCTAAGCTGTGGAGTCCTGTGAGCAAAAATTCTACTTTGTGAGCTCCTGGCATTAAAGTGGTGCGTGAGCGATTTGGCTACTGCATAAATTAGTTTCCTCTGGAGCCATCCTTCCTGAGCTAAGACAAAAATGTGTGAGCCGGAGACTAAAAAACTGTGAGTTCGCTCACACCAACTCAGCTTAGAGGGAACACTGATCACAAGTACCAGGAGGTAAATGAGGGCTGTTGTGGATGCAACTTGAATAGTCTTCTGAACATATACACTCCCCTAGATTAGTGACTGGCAATCGACAGATGGATGAATGTAGATACCAGGTTCTGAGGATCTGCCATAAACTGAAGAGTGAGCAGAATGATCAAGGGCAGCGATAACACACATACAATTCACCACTCCAGCTGGTGTTTTGGAGTTTGGAACACAGAGGAGCCCTATCAAAAATGTATGCCTTTACTTTTTCAGGTTAACTGTACTTCTGAACTTAGTCAGTTCTATATGCTGTCAAAAGCTTTCACAGCCAGAGTTCATTAGTTGCTGTAGATTTTCCGGGTTGTGTGGCTGTGGTCTTGGCATTGTAGAACCTGACGTTTCACCAGTAGCTGTGACTGGCGTCCTCAGAGGTATAACACGGAAAGATGGAGTACTCTCTCTGTCAAGGTGAGAAGAAAAATGGTAGGCAGGTAATTTTTATCTACTCCAGAAGGTGGGGTAGGGCTGAGTCATTATCTTGTAGTAGTTCCCCAGGCTATGAACATGCTAATGGAGGAGCTTTCCTGAGGAGGTTCTTTTGTATATGGATTGTTTCTTGAGGAGGTTCTTTTGTATGTGGATTGGCTGTTGAAATTCTAATCTTATCTGTAGTGCTATTGTCAGATGTAGAGCCTTTTGTATTTTTCAGGTCACAGTTACTGGCAAAATGTCAGGTTCTACAATGCCAAAACCACGGCCACACAACCTGGAAAATCTACAGCAACTAATTAGTCAGTTCTACTTCAAAAAAAGTAGAATTTTACTACTTGTATAAGTTATGCAAAATTACTGTAAAATGTCCTTAATTTATTCTGCTAATCACAGGGATGGGAACTGAATTAGGCAAAATACTAATGTGCTATCTCCCAAGTTTTGGAGGCTTCATCAGACATTGTCCACACTTTCAAGCTAAACATAGGAGCTAGAGACCTACTTTAATAGAAGAAAAAATGGAACTTTTTCTGTGTGCTACATTCTGCACCAGCTATCCAAATACTTCCAAAACAAAATTATCTTCCCTAGGATCACACAACCAGGCAGCCATGCTATCCAGAAAGGCTCCATCTATTTTTAGATTAAAGAGTTGTTCTTCATAAATCATGGTTTGGCATCGAAGAAGCTATTACCCCATTCAAACACCTGTCCGATTCTTTCTAGTTACAGGTGACAACATGCCCTTTGTTATAGGCACCCAACCCATGCATAAATAATAGACACTCCAATTAATCAAAAACAATGGGAATGTGTTTATAACACTGCATGGCACAGCTTGTGCATGAACAAAGCACAATCACCATCCATGGACAAATTAGCTGCAAATGGTCAAGAGGATAGGGGGAAGAAAAACATAACATATACAGTGGATTTGAAGAAACTGAGTACACCAGAGTTTAATAGACAAGTGGGAACCCAGAAGGACTTGCGGGAGGCATCTCATTTTCCCTCCCCCACTTTCTCTTTCCTGAAAGCCCACCTAGCCTCTCCCCGTTTCCTGCCTCCTTCTTTTCTTCCCACCCAACAGCTAAACGATCATTATCTGCCCCCTATCTTCAACTTTCCCTCTCCCTGCACCAGCAGCCTCTACCCAGGAAAACTATGGTGTACTTGTGTGGTGCTGGCCCCTGGGAACCCTCAAGAACTTGTGAGGGGGGCACTTCACTTTCCCCTGACAGGGCTGCCAAGAGGCACCATGAGCCCCCAAAGATTCCACCTGGGCCCCTGCCATGACCCTGATCCAAACCAAATATCACAATAGAACAAATCACGTTGCTTGCTGTTACCATGAATACACACTAATAAAAGAATCCAGCTGTACATTTATGTCTATCCAACTGTACATTTATGTCAGGCATAACTCGGCAGAGAATAAAGCTAGGTGACTCAAAATTGGTCATCAGCTTCAGGATGATTGTGGGAGCTCCAGGGCCAAAATTAAAAGGCATGGAAATATCCTGGCCCAGCTCCCCCCCCCCCTGTGCTACTTGCAATGGAAGCTAAGGGGACTGCAGAAGTGCAAGGTTTTTCTGGTCACAGTCAGGGCTGTGTTCTACAATAGCACAATGCAAAGATGGAATTTCGTATCAAGTATAGAATTCAGGCTCATCATCTGTTTCAGTTTTAAGAGTACGCAGTTAAGATTCATGTTTGTTAGGATAAGCCTGAAATCATGAAAACATCATTGGGAAGTTTCAGAAGTCAAAATACAGACTGACCAGTTTTTCCAGTGGTGCTGTAGGGGATGATATGCAATTCTGTCTCACCCATGACTAGCAGTATAAGCAGAACAGATTTTTTTAAAACTATGCAAATTTAACTCATATAAACTATTTAGATTACTTAATTTAATGAAGTCTTCATGTCCCTAGCTACATACTATGTCAGTGCCAACTGTGGTGGTTATGGCAGATAGTAACTCTAGGACTGGAAGGATAGCCAGAGGAGGTATGGGTTATATCTTATATGGGAAAGGGGATCACACCTTATGCTGCAGTTGTCTTATTGCTGTGTAAATTATGAAAACCAAGAACTATTTTCTGATATCTTATTCTACCAGGATATAGTACCAGCTTCATAGATGGCCACCATAGTGCCATTTTAACAATCCTTAAGGAACCAGTATTATAATAAAAGCTTACAAAACAGTTCCAGGAAAAAGATGCCACTGGTTTAATATGCTCCGTGTCATTAAATTCTATTCTGTAACGTATTTCAATAACTGAGCCAATGAGAATGTATGGGGCTTAGGTAGTTAATCTAGAGATCAATCCAAAGCAGGTCTACTCAGAATCCTACTTGGGTTATTCAACAGGGCTTACTCCCAGGAAAGCATTCTTCGATTACACTGTAAGCATTGAGTGCAAAATGATGGCTTCTACCAAGTGATGCATCAATGAAGTTGTTAGGTTCAGAAATTCAAATATCTTGAACTATTTCCTTAAATCATATTAAACAAAGATTTTCCTCTCATCATGGTGTCTGAAGCTGTCCCAATTTAATTAATTTCTCTGGCTTATTAACTACAGAGCCATATGATATGTTCCCAATTTTATGTCTTCCACACAAACTGTAGCCTTTTATCAGCTTACATTCTATCATTTGAGGATGCTAGGGCCTGCATGGTCAAACCGTGAACCAAAACTGCAAATGCATGTAAAGGTATTGGAATATGACTATTTTCAATATTATGTCTAAAACAGTACCAAAAGAACTTTTAACAGCTGCCAGCATAACCCAGGCTGGAGGAAAACAAAACAAAAAACTGAAATACACAATTCGACATTCTTTCCAGGAAGCGCTACTTACTGATTGAACTGTGCCCTCTGCTGTTCAGATGAACAAGTGCACAGCTAAGGTTGAGAGACGCTCGCACTCCTTACCTAGCATATAGCTGCCTATGTTACCATTAGCAGGGATATTTAGAATACTTGTTGTCTACATATTCATGTGAATTCACTTTATAGGAACTATAAAATCAGCTATTCAGAAACACTGATCTACTTTGAAACAAATAGGAAAATCAACATCTATATACCAAGATCTGTGGCCAAGAACGCAATAGATGAGCCATTTATTTTCCTACTTCCCACATTATCTTGTAACTCAGAAACATACAAGGTTGGATCCTATGCACAATTAACAAAAGCTGCTGCAAAAGCAATGCTGGGAGCTGATGGGGCCTGCATGGGGGTGGGGGGGGGGGGAGACACACCAGAAAACAGACAGCTACAAGCAAGACGGAGAAATGGACAAAATCATCCCTCCCTCTTCTGCCAACAGACCTTCTTTTGGCACAAGAGGCAGGAGGGAAAGATTTCATCCATGACTTTATGTGCCCCAACATCCAGCACCACCTTTTCAGAGCTCACAGGGAAGGCAAGTCCTTTCTATGCCAGCCGAGCACAGGATCCAATCTCGTATTACAGAGCACTTATACATACTGATTTACTTCTTGTTGTTGTTGTTCATTCGCACAGTCGAGTCTGACTCTTCGCGACCCCATGGACAGCTCCCGCCAGGCCTTCCTGTCTTCCGCTACTTGTTGTAGCACTCTAGTATCAGTATAAAGTTCAAATATGGGTGAGGTGTCACCTTTCAACTGAATACCAAATCTATTTCAAATCTGGAGCTGCCCCATACCATGTAGAAAAGCTGACTAAGCCTGACCTTGTCAGATCTCGGAAGCTAAGCGGGGCTGGCCCTGTTTAGTACTTGGATGGGAAACCTCCAAGGAATACCAGGGCCATGACAAGGACGCAAGCAACTGCAAACCACCTCCGAATGTTTCTTGCTTGAAAACCCTATGGGGTGGCCATAAGTCAGCTGTGACTTGACCACATTTCCATCACCAATTCCAAAAGAATCTCAAATTCTTCTGTTCCCTCAAAAATGTGCAAAGTATGTGTTAAATCTTCAAAACACAAAGTAGACTGTCTCAACACAGAATCTGAGATTATTTGCAGACTATTAGTGTTTTAACAAAGCAAATGCAAAATAGCTACTAGGCTCTCAAAGTGGAAAAACCACAGAAGGCATATGTATGGGTTATAAAAGCCCTTTTATAAAGCCATTTTTAAACAAAACCAAAAAGTTTACAAAAGAAAATAAGATACAGAAGAATAAGTTGTTTAATATATTCAAAAAAAGATGAAGAGGGGGAAAAAAACAAGAGGGACACAATTCCAACATGCTGAACAATAAAGGGTTCTTTCCATGTTCTCTTTTAATACAAAATACAAGCCAAGGATACACATACTTAAAACAGAGCTCAGGAGCAGATATGCACTCCTGGGAACCCTTCAATAAAAAGCAAAGCAGGGATTGTTAATTTTTTTTTTAATTGCAAGTACATACAGAGACTGGAATATGTAAAATTAAGTAGCACAAAAGACCATCACACAATTCTACCAATGTATGTTGCATCTATAATTCACGAACATGGTCAACAACATCATGTTCACTTCACCCCCCCTTTAAAAATGCATTTTTAAATAAAGCATTAATGTTACATTCAAACTGAATTCCCAGTACCATGCTGCAGATTTCATTGTCAAGGGACTAACAACCCAACTGGTTATTATCAGGACTGGTGACCATGGTACCTTGTTTACCAATATTCCTTCAGATAGGTGACTAGCAGAAGCCAAGTATTATAGTCAGCAGCCTCTTTCCATGGCCACTCATGAAAATATCAAGAGGAGACACAGGGCCCAACAGGGTACTGAACACCCAAGACAAACATCTACTGCATTCCATTTCAGCAATTCCTAGGTGAGGCTAAGGGCACTTGCCTCACTTGGGAGTATTTTTATATCTGAGAATTAGTTCAGGGTTTTACTGTGACATGTTCTCGGTAAACAAATTATGCAATTCTCTTATATACAACTTTTGTAATAAGTGTTTCTGCAGGAAAAGTAAAATTCACAAATTTCTAAAACACATTAAGTTGTCAGACATTCAAACATGCATACACACATGCTCGCTCGCTCGCTCTCACACGCGCGCACACACACAAATACTTGAAGGGGTTGTCATATTATTGTGGCTTAAGCAAGTTTGTGTACTGTTCTGCCTGAAACCCCTATTAAAAAAATCCCCTCCCCAGTTATACAAAGCATGTGCAGAATGATACCTTGCAGTCACACCAAACATGCTCAAACTGATGGAGCCATTCCATTCTCTACAGTTTTGTACAAGGGCAGGTGGAGCAATGGATATTTTCAACAGTGGTCAACAATCAAGATCATTTAGTGAATGCTTTAACAGACTTGAAGAGAAGCATCTGTTTTCAGGGTTACAAAAGAGAGTAGTAGAGAACAACAAAATGTGAACTACCCAGTGAAGCAGAGAATCTATATGAGGGTTGGGGGGAGACAAAGAATCCCCAAGTTACCTGGGTTGTGTTAAACTATGGGCCCCCAAATTATTATATAGAGCACCCAAGTTTTAAGAACCTTTCTAACTTCTGCCTTGCACATATCACTCATGACCAATTATCTCACACACACAACAGGGATTCACTATCCAGTTTCACAACTCCCATTTAGCCCCCAAATTCCACAAGTAGTTTGTTCCAAATGCAATGGGGGCAAAGGTCATCAGATTTCAGCTATAGCTGGATCCAAGCCACACAGGCAGGGCCTAATTCAATGAAACTACTTAAAAGAAAAAGTCACCCCCACAAGTACTAATATCACTTCCGAAATACCTAAAATCATGGAAATCAATTTCCTTTTATTTTATAAAATCATGTGCCAACATTATGATTTGTTATAAAAAATAAACACTCCACAGAAAAATTACATAAAGCAAAGCACCAATTTCTACAGCTCATAAGCTTCCAGCATGTTATAACTCTCTCCCCTTTCTCAACTCCACTTTAGTTTAGCTGTTTATTGTACTTGGGGCAATAGCTTTTAAAATCAATTTAAAAAATCTCTTCAATCGACATAATTTAACAGTTTCACTACTTGGTGCAATCACATTATGACTGAGAATATCTGAATATTCTACATCAACCCTTGTAATTACTCCAGAAGGGTTTACAGACCACTTGAATGTATATAATTTCCCCACTACTCCTAACATCTAATTTCCATATTAGATCAAACCAATCACTCTAAACTCCTGCTTTTAAGTTTCTTTGCTCTGCCTCTAAAAATTATACTGAAGAGAAAAGCCACCATAAAGATGGTATTTGGATATTGTTAATGTGTGCAGGCTGTTAACATGTGTAGGCTGTTTCTTCAGCACCACGGCAACCATTACCTGGTCAAATCCAAAAGGAAAACTGCAAGCACCCTTCCAAAAGCCTTACTGAAATTTCGTTTCTGTCTCCGTTGCTTTCCCAACTGCTTGCAAAGCTTTTATTAGATACACTAAACACATTCCCTTTTGGTTTTCCAGCAAATTCACATGAAATAAGCTAATTAAATTAGGGCATTATTAATCCGCTATTCCCAGGAAGCAACTGAAGTAGAGTGATTAATACATATTGGAGTAGAATGCTTTGTTTCACTGGTGTTTACATGGAACAAAACTGACCTGATACTTTAGGGATGGAATAGTTGTAATGCATACAAAATTGATATACACAGAGAGAGAGATAATGTGAATTTCTGTAAAACACAGTAAAATATTAAAATATTGACATTGTTTCATTACTGTTATATTAACTGCAGAGAAGATACTTTCCTTCAGGCTCCAAAAAATACAGAAGTGAGTGTCTAGGGGGGGAGAGCAATCATTTATTAACTATATGAAAATTTAGAATTTGCAGAGGTTCCTAAGAGTTTTGTTTCTATGGGGACATACACAACGGCAATTAGAAAGAATGGGAAGAGAGTTTATGTTCTGAGATCCAGTGTACAAGTAACCTGTACATGATATCAGGCACATATACTGTATCACTGGTTTAAATACTTAAGTGAAGTGAGAATAAGTGGGGAAATCTCAATGGCTTTCCGAATGCTTATTAGTCTGTACATAGTTATATTTGTTAAAGAAAAAAAAGCAGCACATTCTTTGGAACAATTATAAATCAGCAGTTAAATCAGCTACGTTCAGATTCCATGAGTAATCACTCTGAAACCTGCACATTTGGAGTACCCAAACAAAATGAGATCATAAAGTATTATATGAGATATAACTATTAAGGACTGAACATGCCAAATAGAGAACTATAATTTTCATGCTCAGAATATCCTGATAGATAACTTTTGGACTTTGGATAAATTGTCCAGATTTACTATTTGACTAGATTTCAACCCAGGAAAGAACAGAGTATTTCCACTTTTTTAGGATTGAAAATACTTAAGACAACATGTTGATCAAAATGGACACTTCAAGCAGAGTGAACCTGTACTGCTTAGCTAAACTTCCAAACCGATTTACAGAGAAAATCATGGAGACATGAACTGAGCTGCTGAAAACACATACCCATGCCACCACTGTGAAAACACAGTCGTGGTAATTCATTGCTTTTGCATTCTTTGCTTTGGCTTTCCAATACTACCCAGGCAGGCATGTTCTTTGAAGACTACACTGGTGAACAGAATCTACTTGGTTTTTAATCACAGAGAACATGTAGGAGAAGTCAAAGAATCTGCCTTCACAAGACTATCGCTCACTTTCAATTTGTTCAGTTGTGATTGGTTGAGGGTGTATATTATGATTGTACAACATGAAAAACAAAGCTGGTGGCACTCCCAATTTATAGTAAATACTGCAATTCCTTTATCTAGGACAAAAGGGCAAAATTCAACTTGTGTTTAAACTGGCAGTAGCAAATCATTTAGAGGTCATCTAAATGACAGCACTCACCCACTTTGAAATGTACTGTACATTGGCAGGATATCCTAGTTTTGTGATGTGCCACAATTTTACTATACTGTTAAGGCCTTCATCTCCTATCTCATCTAGTTTCACCCTGTTCCTTACTTAGCCTAGGTATGCAAGACCTGGCAGTGGAGAAGCATGAACTGCAATCCACACTGTAAGGAGCAGAAACTAAGCGCTAAGCAATGGGTAAGGGCAAATTATATCACCTCTTGATGGAAGCTGTGTAGTTTACCTATGGAGGATAAAAGGGAAAAGAAACATTTCAGCCATGACTCATTGGATGGTTGTTTTAGGAATCTTCCCATATCCAAATTTTAATTTTTATGAAGATATTTTAAAAGCATAAAAAACAGGAGTTTCAAAATTAACAAGTATCAGAAGAAAATGAATGCTATTTGGCCAGACAGAACACTAACCTAACCAGAAAAAAAGATACCACAGTGTGAACAGGTAGGCTCTTTTCTAACTCTAAAGACTTAAATACTTAACAGGCCACATAGTCATTCAAATTATCTTGGCTATTAAAAATAGAATTGTGGAACCCAACATTCAGAATATTGGAACTTCAAGAACCCTTGATGGAATTTCAAATAATAAAAGTTATTCATTAAGGATGAATTTTCTTAATCAGAAATGCTATACGCAATAATATGCATTTTGGATTCAATTAAGCAATAGTTGCCTTAGAAGAACTTTCTCAGCTTTTGAACACCTATTCTATTTTGTTAGTGATGATCTCCAAGTGACAGCATCAATCTTATTGCTTTACAACTGCAGTAAGCCTCCAAAAATATAATCTTTAGTAAGCTGTTAAATTAAGTCTAAATGGCTTTCAGATTTGGTTGGGGAGAATGGAATGGCCTGTAGAGACTGTGACATCAAAACATTATTGTGTAAGGATTCTCTTTAAAAAAAGAAAAGAAAATACTGTACTATTAAAACAGCTAAAGTAAAGGTGGCATTCACAGCCCATGAGTCAAGCCACAACCAAAACCATGTTCTACCCCTAAGTATATCCTCTTTTCCTTCCTCTTCCAAAAAAAGTTTCTTTCCCACACCACCATTTAATCTTCACCAGAGGGGACTTCATCTTCGGACCCTTCATCCCCAGACTTCTCTGGAGGAGGACTAATTGATTTCTTCTTTCCTGGAGGACTTTCAGGCTCTTCATCCTCATCCTTTGGAGATGGGGTTTTTTCTTTTGATGTCTTTGAAGCTGAGGGACGACCTATCTTCCCTTTGCCTTTCACTGGACTTGGCGTAACTGTGGGGGGGGGGAAGGGAAAGCACCAAAAGGTAATTACATCTTACAAATAAACTTGCCCTATTAAATCTGTGGTGGAAAGTACTGTCAAGTCACAGCTAGTTAGAATTATTATTTACCTAGTAAGAACTATTATTTTAAAATCCAAAGCCTATGATAAATATGAGACTGATATCTTTTAGATTCTTATAGAGACTTTAGAAACATTTCTGCTCTGTTCCATGGAATAGATATTGAAGAAGCAATGATCACTGCTGGGAATAGCTGCAAGGCAAGCATCAGTTCTAAGAGCTTACAGTGATGAAAGCAGGAGTTCCAATACAGACTGACCCACCACAAAACAAAGGCCACACAGCCTTTCTGGAGAGGGAATCAGGCCCTGCACACCTACATAATGAGCAGCTTAGTTTTTCTAATCTTATTTTATTTTAGGCTCTCTGAACACAGCTGCTGTACAGACATTGGTTCTTGAATTCATCCTGCTCATGTGAGAGAAGAACACTATCACCTTGTTTGTCCCACGAGCATAACACACCCTGTATATTTAAGAAATGTACAGTTGGCACAACAGTGATCCATCTATTTAAGAAATTATTTAATCCAAGACACCAAATGAAGGGGATCACGGCACCTTCCTAAGGGCGAGGCTTAAGGAAACGGAGATCCTCCCCCCCACAAGTGTGTGTATATGTCCGGTGCACCTGGGTTTATGTTAACATTAATCGTCTTATTTTCATTCCTATTAGGATAAAAGGAGACCGTCACAGGGATTGGTAGGCTCAAAACATCACCTGTTTTAATCAGCACTGGCAAGTGGTCTGAACACAATATTGGCAGCTAGGAAGTCTAAGAATCCCATCCTGATTCAGCCACTAAATCCTTTTAATCTCTGAAAATAGGAGTAATCCATACTTTACTGTACATCAGTTCTGTGTTAAAGAGATTGCCACGTATGTTCATCTGAACAGAATGCTAGTTGAACAAGTATTTGAAACTGACCTTTCAAGCAAAACTCCATTATGTGATTGCCAACAGGGCAAAATAAGAACTTGAAGCAAGCTGAGCTCACCTGTAGCCTTTAGCCTGGGCCTAGGCATTTTCTTTTCTTTCCTTTCTGGTTTGGATTTCTTAGCCACTTTTTTGTTCTTCTTTTTTGAACTGCCATAGTCACTATCATCATCATCTTCCACAAGGAAGTCTTCATCGCTGCCAGAATCTTCTGTGCAGAGAGAGAGGAATGAAATGTCTCTAAGAAGGGCTGTCCTTGATCACTTGGAAGGGAGACAGAATGAGGGAGAGAATCTGGTAGGTTGATCAAGGGATAGGAGTCAGTATTCTTGGCTTCTATATTCTGTAATATACTTGCTAGAACTTGGGAGAAATCACGACTTCTTTGCCTCAGTTTTTTCTCATGTAAATCTGCTTTATGACTGGTGCCATGCAGCACTTACGTTAATTAGTGGCAGAAGTAAATTTCTCCATTCCTCAAGAACAACTACATGTAGATTCAGAGTGAACATTTCCTGTACTAGCTGCTGTAGATTCTACATCAATGCCCATACCAGCCTGACTGTTTTCTTGTTCAATATGGTCTTCCATCTTGTAGCAAGTTGTAGAAGTGCTCTCTGAAGCCAATACCAGTATCTTATTACATATGGATACACAGCAGTACTATACAGCTTCCATGTTTTGATTCCAGGTGTCCATGATTCATCCAGTTCATCAGTTCACTGATTCACTGGGTTTCTGTGTTTATTAGTACACATTCACTGCAAATTTCATAGTTGGCCCCCAACGTTCTCCTTTTAGAGCACATGTCTGTTAATTCACACAGACAAATTAGAAAGCAAAAGCTACATATTTTAACATTCTGTTTTTTAAATTGCCGGTAAATTCTAATGATGAGCACAAGAGGGGATTTTATCCTTTGGAGTATCATAAAGCCAAATAGGATGGTATTTATAATCAAATGGCCTGTTCAGTTAGTTGTCCAGTGCTGAAGATAAAACAGTGACGAATATGGCAACCTTGACTTCATTGTGAATTTACTAATAGAAATACCGTCACAAGGTAGTAACATTTTCAAAAAGTTTTTGACATGTCTGAAAAGATTTGGTGCCCTGAACTGAGGATTTAAATTTTTCCTCTCTTTGTTGCCAACTGCCAGTAGTCTGCACTTAGTAGTCAAAGTATTGTGTTTGTCTATCTGACCAGCTTACCCTGGACAGCACATAAAATACAGCCAGTTTGTCAATCCCATTTCTATTCTCAGTGTGCTTGCGTGCCAGTTAGCCCCACTTACTTTCCTGGAATGATGCCTCCTCCTCCTCCTCCTCTTCCTCTTCACTGCCCACATCATCCATGAGCATTTCCCGTTGCTTGGAAGCAGCTTTGGATGCTGCCTGTCTCTGCTGACGCACGTTTTTGTGGTCTTCTTTCTCATCCTCACTGTCATCTGTTACAAAATCACCAAAGAACACTGAAGATGGACAATACTAATGTGGGGTAGGAAAAACCATGAGCTGCTACAAAATGTTTCTCTAATCATAGCACGATTTACTGGACACCAAACATATCAGACTGACAGTAATTCTGGAGACATCTCAGTGCAAAATATCCACCTGGTCTCCATACTCTTAGCTCTGACTGCCCAGCCTTGTAGTCTTTTAAATGTTGCTGTTATAATGCTTTACAATGTTTTATTTGCTAGTTGGTATTATGCAATTGCCCTATTCTTTTTTCTTTAGTTATTAATCCTGCAAACAGAAGGAATTTATGAAAGCAGTTCTTCTACACTTTCTCCTCCCTCCAGCAGCTTCCTGAGCTCTTCTCCTGAAAGCCTCAGCTAGGGGACCTGGGGCAGGAAAAGAATGGTATAGGGCAAACACTTGTTCTGCCCATATAAGAGCATGGCAGGGTTTTTTTTTTGGGGGGGGGGATACCTCCTAGTTCTCCATTCTTCCCATATCTCCATGTCACATGGAATTTTGTTCAGCAGTGGCTTTTGGGAAAGCACAAACTGCTGCTTGAGGAAAGCATGGAACATCCACTTGCTTTTATTTGTCTGATGAGCCAAAATTTACTGAAAACCAATCAAACAATTTCACAAATACATGAAGTGGCAGCCATGTTTCATATTTATAAAAATATTTCATAAGCAGTTTTACCGTCTTCCTTTATTTAATCAAAGCCTATTCCTTACACTGCATAAAACAACAATTTGCCTATTTTAACTTACATAATCAAATGGCTTTACTGGTTCATCATAAAGTTTTGCCCTCTGGAATGGTTTTAAACTAAATATTCTCCAAGGATCAGAGAATAGGGAAAGTGCATCAAAAAGATGGTATTTATAATCAAATGATCTTACTTCATGAGACCAAAGGTTAGGATCCACCTGCACTAGAATATACCAACAGGTAACTGGAAGAATTACCAAAGGGTGCTTTGAGTTGTGGTTGACAGGGGAAAAGAGTGCTGCTGTTTGCACAATGCTGCAAGTCAGAAGAAGGGCTAATTAAAGGTCCCTGCTGCTTTTGCAGAGTATAATTCCCATTCCTTCTGTCTCTTTCACCTAAGCAAAGGTTTTTGAGAAAGCCTAATTCTTTGTTTTCAGAAGAAAACATCTGAACAAAACCAGATGTTATGTGCTAATTAAGCCACAAAAGCTCTATTAGATGTTTCAACACAGAATTAGGATAAGGAGACGGGTAAATAGAAAAGGACACAGAAAGGTTCAACTGTCAATCCAACGGAAGTCACATAAGTAAATTTATTTAAGCTCAAAGCATCTCAAGCACTGAGACAATCTGTTATTGAACTGGCTCAACCTTTGCTTTTTACTAGTCTTTCATTCAGACATAATACGTAGTGGGTGGATGGAAACCTGGTTCATTAAGGTATGGATCCTATCGATTTTCCTGGAAATACATTATCTGAAAATGTTACAAAGCATTTTATCTAGATCAGAAGTGTTTAATTCATTTGTTACAACGGCCAGATCTGACACAAATGTCACTTTGCTGGCCTGGGCTGTGTGCTTTAAAATGTAATGCCAGGTACTAGAGATATAAACGTTATAAAAGACACAGGAAAACTCAACTAACGATTTTTTCACAAAATAAAAACATGCTTAACACTCTTACAGTATTTCCTTTATTTAACACTCTTTGATAACTGACACCTCTTGCTCTGAATTACTGCATCAAAATCTGGAGTAAATGTCTGGGCTGTAGCAACCTTGAGTTTGCTGCTTAGGTGTGTACCTGTAAACTGAGAACTTATTTTTGATTCACTAACATTCACTACAGAAAAGAGCTGTCCACAGATGTACACTGTCCCAAACACAAACAGAATTTTAAAAGCAAAAGCCTTAAATTAAGGGTAAAATCTGCTGCTTATATTTGTACAGCATCACACTGCTCTCACCTGCCTGCGATTTGTGGCATCCTTTCATTGGTAGGTGGGGAGCAGTGTGAACGTCCCATTTTGTCGACTCTACCGACTCACTATATGTAATCTGCCTTGAGTACACCTTCCACCTTAGAGAAACTTTTCCTGTCCATCTCCCCTCCCTGGCACAAGTAATCCCAGGGGTCCTCTTCCCTCTCTGAAAATACCCTTCCCCACTATACTAGATCAGCAACTTTTTTCTCTGCAACCCTGAAAGCATTTTTGTGTGTGAAGCAGGGTTCCCCCCCCCCCACTTAGAGAGGCCCACCCAAAATGTACACATATAATATAAACTCTCCAAACAACTCCAGCCACTGTGCTCAATCCACCACAACAATCACGAACCCTCCACAGACTCACCAGTAACCTGCCAATGACCAGAACTCCTAAATCAGCCCTTTTCTCCCACCAACTGTGTGTGATGCACCCACAGCAATCCACCCTCCTTCAAATCCCAAGTCTGCTCCCACTGACCACTCCTTTCCTTGCACTTCAGTCCCACTTAGAGACCTGACCTTCCACAAAGACATACATACACCCCAAGGAGCTGAGGTTCGAGCATGGGAACTAACAACTGGGAGACCCAGGTTCATAAACCCCACTCTGCCACAGACGTTCCTGGGTGACTTTGGGCCAATCACTTTCTCAGCCTATCGTACCCTGCACAGTTGTGAGAACAACACAGATGAGAACGATATTTGTAGAAGAAGAAGAGTTGGATTTATGCCCCACCCTTCACTCGAAGTCTCAGAGCAGCTTACAATCTCCTTCCCTTCCTCTCCCCACAACAGATACCCCTGTGAGGTAGGTGGGGCTGAGAGAGCTCTGAGAGAACTTCTCGTGAGAGAACATCTCTGAAAGAACTTGTGACTGAACCAGGGTCACCCAGCTGGCTGCATCTGGAGGAGTGGGGAATCAAACCTGGTTCTCCAGATTAGAGTCCCCCGCTCTTAACCCCTACACCAAACTGGCTCTTAATTGCTTTGGGATCCCATTTGGGAAGAAAAGCAAGGTACAGATGCCTAGAAAATAGGAACGATGCACCAGAATCTCATTAAGTCCATAAGGTGGCTCAATATTCCTGTTTTACCTTAGCTGTCAGGGAGCTGACATATAGGGAGGACCCCTGCCTGGTATTTTACTTTCGGTTTGTACTGCCTGACAATACTCTGTTATCTCTATGTTTTATGGTCCTGACCTTGAGTGCTTAGCTGTAACACATTCCCTGAAAACTATCCTGTTGCCCGGTCCTTTACTTTGGGCGGGCTCCTCCTAATTCCTTGATTGGCTATGCGCCATCAAGGTACCCCTTTGAACCCAGTATATCTCCCATCCCCGCGCCTTTTCTGTTAGTCTTAACACAGATCCTGGAATGTAGATGTTCTGCCAATACTATACCAATAAACTTCACTTCTGAAGAAGAGAGTTGTTGGATCTGATTGCTGCAGGAGTCTGACAGAGTGTTAAGACTCACTATAGTTCCTGCTTTTGCACCCAGCTATGAAGGCGAAGTAAGTGGGAACATGCCCACCACTACCAAGGGGGAAACCCCAGTGACCAGTAACCCCCCTGTGACGGTAGCTGAGGCTACTGGAGGCTCCGAACTACCCCTGCTGGGTCGGTTCTGGCAGAACCCTGACTCTTACGCTTGGTCCCAGTTTACGGAAGTGACCCGCGAGACATGGAGTACCTCGGTTCGCCCTCAAATGACTGCAGCGTTCCAAGGGATGGAGGGAGTGATGGTGGGAAGCGCCGCCATGACCAGGGAGCCGAGAGAAGATCGCCTGGAGCAACTCCAAAACCTGTTGTTGTTGATACAGGAAGAACTGTGCCAGGAGTTAACAGAGGCATTGATGGGGCTACCTCAACTGGTCTCCACTCCAGTAAAGTATGAAGTGGGACTGCGACGGCAAGCCAAGGGAGGGGCTCAAGCCAACCCGCTGCAGGGGCCTCCTGCTCCCGCTGGAGTGCAGATTGTCCCCGTAGGAGCTGGGGTCCTGAGGCAAGTGCCGCCTGCAGGGAAGCCAGGGGTACCAGCACAAGCACCGCCAGGGGGGCAACCTGTGGGCCCCGCTCCAGTACCAGCCCCTGCATCCACATTGGAGGGTCCAAGAGCTGCTTGACGCAATGTTCAATGGCGAGCCAGACAAGCTGGCTTTCTTCACCCTGTGCGCAAGTTCCTGCGAGACTGGGGCCACCTGTTCCCAACGGACAAACACTGGGTGGACTACATTAAAAGCAAGCTTCGAGAGCAAGCAGCCGACTGGTACATGGCCTTGAATAATTTACAGAGCCCGGAGCTCCGCGACGTGCAAGCGTTCATGTGGGCCCTTAGGAGGCAAAACGAAGATCCCATGGAAATCGAGAAAGCCCGCAATGGCATCCGTGCCCTGAAGCAAAGCAACAGTACAGTGAGGGAGTACTTGGATGAATTCAAAATGTATGCCTCCAAGATCCAAGAGCGGAGCAGTACCAACTGGGGCTCAACCACCAAATCCTGGAAGGACTGTTACGCAACAAGAACCTGCAGACCATGACGGCCTGGATCCATGAAGCTGATGCCAGATGATCTACTCCCTGGGAAGGGGAGGCGGATCCAAGACCCCGGGGGGGGGGGGGCATGAAGAGCCCCCGACCAAAGCCTACGGAGCCTGCCCAGGAGCAACGAATGTGCCTGGGTTTGCACCTCCGATGTGGTGCACCTGGCCACTACGCCGCCTCCTGTCTGGCCACTCTCCCCCAAGTGGGACCATGGGGGGGGGGAGAAGAGCACTGGAGACACCCCAAAGAAAGGAGGGGCCATACGACCCAAGCAACCCAAGGCTCTCCAGGTGGGGACTTCAGCCACCAAGACCTCGTCCAGCGAGGAGAAGATGCCCCAGCTGGCGGGAAAAGGCCAGGACCTGCTGTGAGAGGCGCGAGCAAGCAGGTCCAAGCGTCGGTAGCACCAAAAGCAGTGAGCAACTACCCCCCCCCTCGTGACTGTGACCCTAGTAAACCCTGAGATGGGAACCCAAGTCCGGGTGTGAGCACTGATAGACTCTGGCTGCGCCCGAGATATAATCAGTCCATCAATTGTCACAGGGTTGGGGATAGCCATCCAAAAGCTCCTGGAGCCACTTGTATTTACGCAAATGGATGGTTCCTCCACGAAGGAGGCTTGCAAGTACCAAACGGTACCCGTAATCATGAGGGCGGGGTCTCATTGGGAGCAAAGAACTTTTGTCACCACTCCCCTAACCCGATTCTTGCTGGTGCTGGGAAACCTCTGGCTCCAAGACCATGACCTGCATGTTAAATGGAGCGAAGGGGTGCACCGTCCACGTCTGGGATGAGGGATGGGGAGAGGAACCTACATCCCTCCTGAACGTGTCTGCTTAGCACAGGAGGAGTTATGATCCATCCCCAAAGAGTACTGGGATTTGTCTAGAGTGTTTGAGGAGGTGGAGGCAGATTAACTCCCCCCCCAATACTGTAATACTGACTGTGCCATTGAGATACTACAGGGGCACAAGATGCCCAAAAGGAAAGTTGTACTCCATAAGTGTAGCGGAGAAGGAGGAGTTACGCAAGTTCATTGGCAAAAATCTAGCTAGAAGCTTCATTCAACCTGCCTCCTCCTCCTTCACCGTACCAGTCCTCTTCCGGAAGAAGACAGGGGACTGCGGTTGTGCACGGATTATTGGGGGTTGAACGCGGTCTCCACATCCAATGCTTACCCCCTGCCGTTGATTAAAGACTTGTTAGCTGAGGCCGCCAAAGGGAAAATCTTTACTAAACTTGACCTACGCGATGCGTATTTCCGGGTGCGCATAAGGGAGGGGGACAAGCACAAGACTGTGTTCAATACCCCGCTCGGCCAGTTCGAGTATTTGGTGATGTCTTTTGGATTGCAGGGAGCACCTGGGGTGTTTATGAACTTGATCAATGAAGTGTTGCACAAGCACCTATTTAATGGGGCCCTTGTTTACCTGGATTATATCCTTTTATATTCCCAAGATATCAAGTCCCATGTGGCCCTAGTGAGGGAAGTGCTGCAAACCCCCTATGACCATCAACTCTTTGCAAAACTGTCTAAGTGCGAGTTCCACAAAAACGAGATTGACTTCCTGGGCTACCGCATATTCGGCTGTGGGCTAGAAATGGACCCCATAAAGTAGTGGACCCCCCAAGACACGCAGGAAGCTCCAATCATTTCTCGGATTTTAGAACTTTTATAGGCCTTTTATCCCCAACTTTGCCCAGGTGTCCCTGCCCCTCATTGATCTGTTAAAAACCAAAGGGAAGGGGCCGGAGAGGGCTAAACCCGGGGCAAGGCTGGAATCGACTGATGAATGCCAGGAGACGTTCGAGAAGTTAAAGTCATTGTTCACCTCCGAGCCCATTATACATCACCCAGACGAAGAAAAAAAGTTTGTACTACAAGTCGATGATTCGGATGTGGTGATGGGTGGGGCCATATTGCAACTGGGGGAAGATGGCCAGTTGCACCCCTTGGCGTATGTGTGAATGCGACCGGGGCCATATTGCAACTGGGGGAAGATGGCGTATGTGTGAATGCGACTGGGTGTAATTGGGCTGTGTGGGATAAAGAGGCTGCTGCCATTAGACTTGCATTAACGACATGGCGGCATTGGCTGGAGAGGGCGCGAGTGCCATTTGAAGTCTGGATAGATCATAAAAACCTAGAACATTTGCACACGCCCGGCCATCTTAATGCCAAACAGTTACGGTGGGTGGAATTCTTCTCCATTTCAGTTTATACTCCACTTTCCGGGCAAAGCTAACTCCCTTGCTGACACCCTCTCGCACCTCCTGCCAGCCAACAGGAGGAGGTCATTGACACTATGTTCACATCCTCTCAGGCGGGGGGGGGGGGGACGACTTAGTCAGTGGATCGCTCCATTCCGTGCTATCTGATGCTGATAAAGTGGAGGTAGAGGGGGACCCTTCTGTTACTCTCCACGACAACAGGTGTTGGTACCAGGGGGATAAACTATTAGTTCCCAAAGCCCTTTGGGGCGAGATGTTGCAGTTGGGTCATGGCTCCCGAATAGTGGGGCACTATGGATTGGTGAAAACCCTCCACCTCTTACAAAGACAGTTCTGGTGGCCGCTCTTACGTAAAGATTTCTCCCTAGTTGTTGAGTCATGCCAGACTTGTCTGATGAGCAAAAAGAGACCCAGGAAACCTCCGGGGAAGCTCAAGCCGTTGGAAACCCCCTGCCGTCCATGGGACGTTATTTTCCATGGATTTTATCACAGACTTGACCCTCAGTAAGGGAAAACTGGTGACCTGGGTCATGACTGACTTGTTTACCAAGCAAGCCCACTTCATCCCGTGTAAGCAGGTCCCATCAGTCAAAGCCCTAGCTAAAATCTTCATGGCGAATGTAGTGAGACTCCATTCAACCCCTAGTAAAATAATTTCGGACTGGGCCCCTCAGTTCATTGCCAAATTCTGGAAGGAGCTCCTGCAGGTACTGGGGGTCTCGCAGGAGCTCAGCAGCGCCTACCACAAGGAAACTGACGGCCAAACGGAAAGAGTTAATCAGGTGGTAGAACAGTTCCTTTGCTACTTCACAAACTATCAACAAGACGATTGGGTAGACTTTGTGCCTTACACTGAGTACAGCTACAATAATGTGGTGCACAGCTCCACTGGGATGTCTCTGTTAAAGGCTTAGCATGGTTACAAGGGGAACCCCCTCCCCACGAGCCCCAGCCTGGGTGCCCCTCCCGGTGACCTGAAGACCTGGTGGAAAGGCTTGGATGAACAATGGAGCCTCATTCAAAAACCTCTGGACAAAGCTAAGCAGGCTTACAAACATTATGCTGACCGGGGGAGGGCGCCAATATGGGACATGCAGGTGGGGGAAACGGTCTACTTGTCCACCAAACACCTCAAAGGCCTCCAACATCGCCAAAAATTGGGGTGGAAGTATGTCGGGCTGTTCAAGGTGCTGCACAAAATCAATGAGGTGACTGTTGAACCTGACCTCCCTAAGTTGCTGAAAAATATACACCCCATCTTTCATTTCAGGTTGCTGAAGTGGGACCCTAGCCTGAACCCATGGAGACCGCGTCCACCTCCCCCTCTGACAATGAATGGTGAACTGCATCAGGAAGTGGCTCAAATCCTGGACTCCACACTGAAAAAGGGACCTTGTTCTATCTGATCCAATGGAAGGACTTTGATCCAGAGCACAATGAGTGGGTCCAGGCTTGTCATGTCAAAGCCCCTAAGCTTATTCGTGCCTTTCACCACCTGTATCCTGACAAGCCAGGAAAAGGTGATATTCGGGGGGCAGGATGTCAGGGAGCTGACATATATGGAGGAGGACCCCTGCCTGGTATTTTAACTTTCGGTTCTTATTGCCTGACAATACTCTGTTATCTCTATGTTTTATGTGCCTAACCTTGAGTGCTTAGCTGTAACACATTCCCTGAGAACTATCCCGTTGCCGGGGTCCGTTACTTTGGGCGGGCTCCTCCTAATTCCTTGATTGGCTACGCGCCATCAAGGTACCTCTTTGAACCCAGATCCTGGAATGTAGATGTTCTGCCAATACTGTACCAATAAACTTCGCTTCTGAAGAAGAGAGTTGTTGGATCTGATTGCTGCAGGAGTCTGACATTAGCCTCCAACTACATCACTGCTTTTACATGCCAGCCCCCCAACACAAACACACAGCCTTCCCTTCCCCCAACAGCTATATTTCTCCTTCCTCCCATGGCTTTCCAAGCACAGTTCCCACCACACATCCCATTGCATGCACTTCAATCCTTCCCTTTCATGCCCCTACCCTCCAGTCCTTACTCCCCTCCCCCAGATATATTCTGGCATTCCCATTCCTTTACTCCTCTAACGCTCGTTTCCATCAACAGCTCCCCCTACCACTACCATCACACATAATGACTTCCTCCCTTCTTCTTTCCATCCTCCCAAAGAGCCACCTCTCTGCCATTGCAATGGAGAAAGAGCAAGAGGCAGGCAGAGAAGGTGGCAGCGACAATGGTAATGGAGGTGGCTTCTGCTGCTGAAGTGGAGGAGGTGAAGTGTGCATGCGCACTGACAGAGAGGCGGCAACCCACCTGCCTCTGACAGGAGAGGGGGCAGCGGCCACACATACACAGCCTGGCCTAACCGAGAGAGGAAGGGAGGGGGATGGACCCTACAGCCAGCTAACCTGATGCAGGTCTTTTCACTGCTCTTGCTGCCGCCGCCACCACCACCCTCCTCTTCCTTGCTCATGGGCCAGATAAAAGACGTGGATGGGCTGGTTTTGGCCCCCGGACCACAAGTTTGACACTCCCAAATAATTAACATGTATTAATTGAACTGTGTACACACAACAGTAAAATACTGAAATTATCAGTGACAACAGTTTTGATATACAACTTTTACCTGCAGCTCTTTTCCTGGATTTGGAAGGTGCTCGTTTGTTCTTGTCAGGTTTGGCTTTTTTCCCTTTTTTGTTCTTTTGAGAACTCTCATAATCACTATCAGCTTTGCCATCATCTGCTCCTAAATCATCCTCACTGCCAAAATCTTCATCTGAGAGAAAACAGTGATACTTAACATGTATCTTCTGCAGAGAAGCGCAATAAGAAAAAGCAAGCTGTTTCAGCCTTCAAAAGTGCGGGTTAATGGGCAAATGATGAAAACAAGAAAATGAATGTGGTACAGTTACAAATTACTTAGGGCACGACACATTAGGGTTTTCGACAAGAGCTATGATAGAGCAACATCACAGATGATGTTCTAGACATCACCATTCCCCCTTGGTTGGTTATCTATGCCATAATAAAAGCATAACTACCTGCTGAATGTGAATCGTCTCTTTTTGTCTTCATGTCTTTTTCGGAGTCCTCACTGTATAAAGGAAAACAATTCTGACATTATCTTCTAAATACCAACAGAAAGACTACTATGATGACAAATATACAAAAGCATATAAAATTTAAATGCAAGTTATATAACACAAAAACTGCACCAAAACACACCAAAAACCATTATCTAGCAAAATAATAATAATAATAATAAATTCAATCAAATCTAAACACCCACTGAAACAGAACAGTTTTTACTTGTTACCTCAGTAAAAATAAACCATGCTGTTTTCCCTTTGGAGGGTATTCCATAGCTTTGGTGTCACCACTGAAAAAACAATGGTTGGATCCAATGATCCATGGATGCAAGAATTTTCCTCTCATTCCTGTCTCCCTAGCAATCTTTTCCAACTCCAGAAAAGCATCTATTAGTCAACATAGGTCACAAGACAGGTCTCATGACCCAGTTCCCTCTAAACTGCACTAGGGGGCGCTGGCACACAGGATTTCAGAGGCCAGCTCAGAGGATTTCTGCTTCAGCTCACAACCAAGCTTCCACAGGAAACAATGGAGGATGGGGGCACCTACTTCTGAAGCCCACAGAATTGGACCCCTTGGTCCAATCTTTTTGAAACTTGGGGGTTTTTTTGAGGAGAGGCACCAGCAACTATGCTACAAATTTGGTGTACTTTATCTCAAAAAACAGCCCACCCACCCCGCCCCAGATATCCCTGGATTGATTCTCCATTATAGCCTATGGGGCCCATTGACTAATGGTCCCCACAGGCTATAATCCAGTAAGAAAAAAAGCACATTTCTTTGCATGTCCCTATTATGCTTTTCAGTATGATTTGTAAGCTGCCTCGAGTCACACGGAAATAAATATCTGAATAAATAAGTAGTTTGGGCAAGTTGATAACGTTTAAGCAACTTCCTGTTTGTAACCAAAGTAGACTGCAAGAGTCACACACACACCCCCCGCTGGTGTGTTTTCTAAGGGTCAGCACAGGGCGATGGTCCAAGGCCAGGTCTACCAGTATAGTGAAAAGGGGTGGGTAGATCTGTTGCTTGGAGTCCAAGTTACCAATTTAGTGGACTGGAGGGTGTAGGTAGACCATTTCTCTGGACAACCATTGGGGCCAGAAAAAGGAATAGAACTTCTAGGTTAGAGAAATAATTCCCTGCCCAGTTGAAAAGGGAGATAACTCTAAAGAGTGGAGTGATCCCTGGTTTGTTTAGAGGATTTTGGATACTTGGTAGTGTATCCCTGCCTTCTGAAACTTGAAGAGTCAGCTAAATCCAAGAATTTATACTGGAGTGTTTAGCAGATACTGAAACTAAACTTCTAAGTTTAGATTCTAAGACTTTGTGAAAAGCTTAAAACTCTCACTTTCCAGAAACATAGTAACTGGAGTTTGTGAAATTACTAAGTTACCTCAAGAGTTATTACTGATTCACCTCAGACATTTTACCCCTGATTCCACCTGACCTTTCCCCCTCTATGTTGAATAAAATATTTTGTTTATTTCTGAAGTATAAGAAGGGGATCTTGTCTCTTCCCTCGTCCCTGGGCTCAGCCAGCATCAAAATATAATAACGTGATGGGGTGGGACAGCCATAAACCTTCTAATAAGAAGAAAATGGATAAAAGCAGCTCCTCAGCCAGAAAGGAAGGGGAAATGAAGGGAAACCCCTGCATGTAAGGGAGGGAAGAGGGCAAGATTGCCTTACCTCCCTACTCGCCTATTCTGCAAACTGAACTATTCAGAAGGACATTTTTCTTGGATATATGCCATCTGTGCCTGGTGATTTGTCAGTTTTTAATTTGTCCATCAGTCATAGGACCTCTTCTCTCATCACCTCAATCTGAGGCAGGTCTATCAACACCCCTCCTGAAATCAGCAGTTTTGGAGTGGGCAAAAATCTCTCATCTTCCACAGTGAAGACAGAGGCAAAAATGCATTCAGCTTCTCTGCCATTTCCCGATCATCCTTTAGGAATCTTTTTACCTCTTAGTCACCAAAGATCTCCACTGCCTCCCTGGCTGGTTTTCTGCTTCTAATGTACTGGAAGAAATTCTGATTGTTGGGTTTTTGCAATATGTTCTTCATAGGCCCTTTTTGCCTGTCTGATCACTGACTTGAATTTTATTTGCCAAAGCCTGTATTTCCTTTTATTTACCTCACTCGGACTAGCCTTCCACTGCTGAAAGGAATCCTTCTCACTACCTTCCACTATTTTGTTTGTTAACCAAGCAGGCCTTTTTCATACCTGTTTGTACCTTTCCTAACATGAATTTTATCTGAGCTTCCAGTACTGTCGTTTTAAATGTTTCCAAGCTTCCCAAAGGGAGTGGACCCTCCTTACCCTTTCAGTTTCTTCTTCAGAAGCCACATATTTGAGAGGTTGCCCCTTCTAAAGCTAAATGTGGTTGCGCTGGTCTTTTTGATCAACTCCCTATTAACATAAATGCTAAATTTAATAGCATTATGATCACCGTTCCCAACTGGCGCTATCATGTTTACACCAGTTCTTGAGCATTATTTAGGACCAAGTCCATGATTGCCTCCCCCTGGTAAGTTCTGTGACACGGTCACTGTGAGTATCTAGAAACCCAATCTCCTTCTCCTGACTTGAACACATATTGACCCAATCAATGTGTGGGTAATTAAAATCACCTATTATGACAGAGTTGTTTTGTCTGCACATGACTCAAATTTTTCTTCACAGTTCATTAGTTTTTATAGCCACTCTGATGTGCAGGCATTTCCTGAGGAATCTAACATTTCCGAAAGATATAAAACTCTATCTATCAATATGTGCACTGCTCTAAACATTGAGTCTTAAACTGGCAACTTCCTTTTAGTTTTTCTTGCACACTGTCCAAGTTCCTTCTCATATGTCAATCTATCTTTTATCAGGTATAGTGTAGCCAGGCCATAATGAGTCAATCATGTCAAAGTGCTTATTTTTAACAATATGAAAAGAGAATCTGTGGCAGAAATGAACTCTGGGGCAAGTGATGCTCTGTCTTCCTGGTGCTTGGGGGGATGTCAACAGTGGGAGGGCTTCTAATGTCCTGGCCCCACTGGTGGACCTCCTGATGGCACTGGTATTTCTGGCCACTGTGTGATACAGAGTGTTGGACTGGATGGGCCTTTGGCCTGATCCAACATTGGCGTCTCTTATGTTCTTATGGCTTCACAAGTGTGCTAACAAGGGAGGGGAATAGGAAATCTAGCCTGAGCTTCTCTCCTCCTTTTCAGGTATTTTGTCAGGGTGTGACCAGAAGGCATCTTCTGGCAGAAACTCTTTTAGCAGGGAAGTGGAATCTTGGGAACACTTCTGCCAGCTGAATGAGATGTGGGATATTTAAGTCTAGACACAGCCAAAGATCTCTTGGCCCGTGGCCATGAGTGAGCTGGAACATCAGAGTCGCCAGTAAGGAAAAACGGATAGAAATTCTTAAAAATAAAATATCTACAAATATAGGCACATTATGTTCCAAAACAATGGCATTTAGAATTACAATATGAAGGTCAGAACTTTACATAACATCAGAGCAGAGGTAGCATGATGTGAAGTCTTTCCTGTGTGGTCTCTACTGCAACCTCCACCTGACAACAGATGCCAGGTAGCTTCTAACTAGTTATTTCAGTACATGTGAGGAAATTTACCACAGCTTAATTAATGTGGCTATAGTTAATTACAGTTATTCACTCCTGTACTGCTTGTGTTGTTTGAGAAATGCCATGACCCCCCAACTTCAAAGGAGACATGGTGGGAAACAGGAAAAACAGTAAAGAGTCCTGAAACTATGTGCATTTGAAGCACACAGCATTAGCTAGGTTCACTCAGTAATATTGTTACAAAAACTTTCTTAGTGCACAGAGCAGTTAACAGCCAAGCTTTCAAAAATTTGAGGAAAACTACTGACATGTGCTCAACCTTATAAAAACCCACAGCATGAGTGTGAGCTATTCCAACTCTTTAGCTATTGCTATTCCAACTCTTTAGCCAGCTTTCTTCAGAAGCTAGGATCTGAAACATACAAAGTCTCTTGAGAAAGGATTTCTTTAACCTTACCCTCTGAAAGCTCAGTGCATTCACTATATCAATCTACTTTCTCCACAAACCAGGCTTAGAATATCACCCTTCCCCCTCCACAAAGCAACAGAACCGGAAGTTTAACTGATTTCTCCCTCCACTTCCCCCTGGCTCCTCAAGCATTCCATGGGTCCTGTTTGGCTGCTAGCTGTTTGCACACACACCAATCAGGCAAAAAGGGACTGGTGATTGATAGAAAGGGGCAGGACCTTTGCCCATCCATCACAGACACCAAATGGCAAAACCTTAGTTCTCTTACTGCAGCTTTCTGTACTTTTGTGATGCGTTCTGCATTTTCTTGTTGCATAGCTGAATTTTTTACCCAGAGAAAAGCCTTTCTTCAAAATATTCCCCAACAAAGTCGTTCTTGCACCCAGAAGCCTAAAACTTTTTAGTGGCAAGGAGTAGTACAGAGAATTGTGTACTAAATGTCTTTCTTTCCTCTGTGATTTTCTGATCCTTTCCAGAACTCATCTGCTTTAGTCTACCCACCCACATCTTATAAACACAAAACCCAACATTTTTGCTCATATAAGCCTTGAATGAGCTACTAATGGTCTGGAGTTTTCCAGAAACAAGAGCAGATAGTTACCAGGCAGATTAAATCCATTATTATGGGTGGTTTGATTGTTATATGAAAAAGGAAATGTTCATGCTTGATTGGTAAAGAGTAAATACTTTAAGAACCAAGTAAATTGGTTCTTTATGCAGAAAAGCAGCCTTTAACTAAGTGTGATAGAGCCAGCCACTGATTCATTGTTAATATTTAATTCTAGATTTTACATGCCAGTGATCAGATTTAATATTCACCAGGAAATCTTTAAAATGAGAAATTTAACATTTGTTTAAACACCCAATTTTCTAAATTTCTGATTTTAAACTATTATCTTTTTCACCTCTGAAAGCTGACATACTTAGTTAAAAGAGAACTTAACCACAGCTCACCTGTCCTCCTGAGAATTCTTTCCAGGCCGCCTCTTATTTTTTGCTTCCCGTGGTGATGAGCGGATTTTTTTGGTTGGAGGAGCTGAATCTCTTCCATATTCTTCATCTATATAGTAATGATAACACAGACTTAATTTGGCAAGTACAATTGTTTCAGTCAGTAACATTAAGTTGTGCAACCTTTAAAAATTAGTACCAACAGCATCCTGCTAAAATTCATGAAGAAACTGGATGCTGTAGCTGAAATGCTGGAAATATGGAAACATCTCCATAGGATTTGATTAAATAGTTTATTTTATCGATTTTAACTGTCCTTTGTTAAATATTTTTAAAATTTCTAAATTGTTTTGGAGAACTTTGCAAAGAAGCAAAATTAAAGGGGAAAAATTAATCTAATGCTTCAGCTGGGGCTCATCAAGAGACTAGGCCTCTTCATAGTCTCTTGTTTAAACTTTGGTTCAGGCACATGGCCTACAGACCATGGAAAAAATTTCCTCTCTGAGCACCAAGGCCAAGCTGACAGCGAGGGAGAGATAAGGGAGGACAGGAGGCATTCACAGGTGCAGGGTGTCTCATCTGCCTTGATGTTTCAAGACTGCCTTAAGCGGGCCTACAAATTCCATCTTCTTAACTCAAGGATTTATGGGAGCTGTTAATTGGATCTGATGTAACTACAGAACACTAGATACTAATTGGCAATCTTACCTGATTGGTTACATCACCTGGTCAGTAAAACCAATGGTCAGTTGAGTCACTTCATTGGGCCTACATCTGATTGGCTAGCCTAAATCATGTCAGCATGTGCCATGAGGCATAAAGAAAAGAGTCTTCATTCTAGTTTTGCCCTCTTGGTTGGACTACAACTAGCCTTGGGAAATTTTTGATTGGGGGCAGGCCATGATGGCTGGACACTTGTTGAGTTTGGACTTGGAAATTATCTTGGACTTTTCTTTGCTAAGTAACATCTAGATTAGAGAACCCTTATTTTTAAGTATCTAGGTTGGCTATCTAACTTTGTTATTTTATTCTCAGTTTTTGTTGTATATTCCTATACAAGTTGGCTAAAGGTAAAGGTAAAGGTTCCCTTGCTCGAAAGCCAGTCGAATCCGACTCTAGGGTTGCGGTGCTCATCTCCGTTTCAAAGCCGAAGAGCCAGCGCTGTCCGAAGACGTTTCCGTGGTCATGTGGCCGGCATGACTAAACACCAAGGCGCACGGAACGCTGTTACCTTCCCACCGAAGTGGTCCCTATTTATCTACTTGCAATTTCTTGCTTTCGAACTGCTAGGTTGGCAGGAGCTGGAACTAGAGACAGGAGCTCACCCTGTCTTGCGGCACCCGGGTCTTGAACCACTGAACTACTGACCTTCCACAGCCTGCAGTTCAGCGTCTTAACCACTTGAGCCACCGCAGCTCCATACAAGTTGGCTACAGGTGCTGAAATAACTTATTTTTGGGACTCACTTTGTAAGTGTACAACCTTACAGGGCTGGTTTCTTGTTTAGACCTGGGAAGGGCTAAAGGATTGATCTCTTGGTCTCTGGCTGTCTGGGGAGTTAAAGGGGCTGGTGGCAGTGATACCCTGAGGTGTATGGACTCACAACAGCCTTTTTGTTTGTTTGCCCTGCCAAACCAATCAATCTCCTGGAGTGGGCTCCCTGACCTGGAAGTTTAGCACACTTGGCAATGCTATGGAGGTGGTGGGTTTGTGACAGGTCAGATTTAGCCTGAAAACTAACCTTCGCTTGTAAATGAACAAAGAATAAATGAACAAAGAAATGGTCTTTGAGGAGTCAGACAAAGCTGGACAGACATAACCACTGAGGTCAGTTCCACAGAAGAATATATGAATGAACAAGGCAATCAACTTTCAGTTTCCCTGTGGCCCAGCACTTATCTAGTGATTTGTTTTTTGTTCTGTGCTGCAGAATAATGGCAAGTCCTCCACATTACTTTTAAAATGTAAACACTGTAAAGAAATCAACACTATCTGACAGCAAGTGTGTTTCTCCCTGAGGAGATCAGAAGTTGAGGACAAGACTCCTGAACAACTTACCACTACCAAGCCTCTGTAATGTAGAGATACAGTACAGTGTTTGGTGTGTTGTAGGATATAATCTCAGCTTATACAAGACTAACTGGCCTGGTCCATGTCCTGTGTGAAACAAATGTGTGCTAAAGAATTCACTGCAATATATAAGGATTCCATAGTAAACAGGATGTTGTAGAAAATGTTCCTTATGAAGTAGATAATTGCCTGAGGGAGTTTCCGGAATGGCAGTCACCGGGGAAGGGGGTGTCAGTCCTCTTAGCTCACACCGCATGCTTGAGTTTGCATCTGCGCTGAAGAGAGCAAAATACCACTAGGGGTGTGGAAAAAACAGTATTTTCTGGGTTTGAGTATACTAAGCCCAAAAAATATCGGATTTCCCAATATTCCTGAATCCTAATACCAGTATAGTATTGGGATTCAGTAAATACTTGGGATTCTTGAAATTTTTTGGCTTCATTATACCCTAAGGGTGCCATTATAGTCAATGGTCTCCAAAGGGTATAATGGAGAATCGATCCAGGGGTATCTGGGGTGGGGGGGCTGTTTTTTGAGGTAGAGGCACCAAATTTGCAACATAGCTGCTGATGTCTCTCCTCAAAAAAAACCCCCCAAGTATCAAAAAGATTGAACCAAGTGGTCCAATTCTATGAGCCCCCAAAGAAGACACCCCCATTCTCCATTGTTTTCAATGGAGGGGGAAAGGGCATTTAAATGACTCACCGTCCCTTTAAATGCCTTCTCCCTGCACCAGAGATACGTTTCACTGCTAGCATAATGTGCTGCATCCTTCAATTCCAAAAGCCTTTCCACGGCAGTATCTGCCCTGTCAAAAAGGCTGCTTTGCTATACTTTGTGTATTTTTAAAAATGAAGATGACAATTCATAATGCAGGGGTGGAAACTAGTCAGAGAGTCAAAAATACTGATTTTACTGACCAAAATTCCAAAAAAACCTGACCAAACTGACAAAAAACTGACAAATTACTGAACAATTTAATATCAGCTTACTGATAAGCTAGCATTTTAAACTATTATCTGGCCTCCACCATCACCATAGCCAGCCCCATAGTTAGATGTGACCCAGATAAAAGGATTGAACACCTTTTTATTGAATTTTTTTTAAAGAATAGAGGACAATGTTTTCATTATTGTACAAAATTTAAGGCAAAAAAGATTCCCTTTTAAAAATAATCCCATACTGCAGATAATAAAATAGCAAAACAGCAAAAACATATTATTAAAAACCAAACATAAAGTAATAATTATGACAAAAAAACATAATTACTACTTGTCTTTGCTTGTACTTTATCTTTGGTTTTTTGATGAAAAAAGAACCGGCCAGCAGCCTGCCATTCTTGGTGGAGGCCGTGTCGGGCTGGGCATTGGAACACCCTGGACTGATTGTCCTGCGTGATTTCAATGTCCATGCAGACGATATGGCCTTTACTCAGGCGATGGACCTAGTGTCATCCGTGGTGGCGCTGGGACTCTCCCAATATGTAACGACTCCCACTCATCAGGCCAGACAAACTCTCAATCTGATCTTCGCGGCAGGGGTCACAGTGAACCGGGTCACTGCCTCAGCAGTGCCATGGTCGGACCAGCATGCCCTGAAGGCCCATCTGAATGTTTCACCCCAACCCTGTTTGGGCGGCGAGCAGATTTCAGCTTGCCCATGGAGCCAAATGGACCCTATGTGGATTCAAATGGCCCTGCGGGATCCTGGCAACTCGTTAGATGAGCTTGTGGAGGATTGGCACAGCTGACTCTTGGTAGCCATCAATGAGATTGCTCCCCGACACCCTCTGCGCCCTCACTCTAGGCTGGCTCCTTGGT